AGCATTTCCCTTTGGGCCGGGCGCCTGCCGCTGCTGAGCTGGCTGCTCCCGCAGGGAGTCTTCTCCAAGGAGCTCAGGTTGCTGGGCTCGGGACTGAGTGCTGTCTGAGGAGCTGGGGGCTCCTTGCACCTATTGGGCACCACTGGCCATTCCTCTTCGCCACTAGCCCTGCTACTGTGAGCTGAGCTGCCCTCTGGCTTCTCTCTCTTCCCACCAGAGTCCAACCAGGCTGTTTGTGCAATATTGTGCAAATCAAGGTGAAGTAAGTTGTGGCCACTTGCCTGCTCCTCATTCTCCCCATAGGCTGTGGGCTGATCCCCCAATGAGACAGAGCAACCGTCTCTTTTGTGCAAAGTACTGCAAGCAATGTGCTGGGGCCAGGAGGAGGAGGAGGACACATCCTGCAACTTGTTCTCTCTGCTGGCTTTGGGGCTGTTGCTAGGGCTGCCCTCACACCGGTGCTCCACCACCCGCAACCCGCTGTGGGAGAAGTGTTGGGCAGAGCCACAAAGGGACCTCCACCAGCAGACCATCCTCAAAGGTATCGTCATCATCCAGGGAAGCCTGCCCAGGGCCCCCGTCACGCTTGCTGTCCACTCCCCCGCCACCCCAGTGAGTTCGTTTGGGATCTCTCCCCCCCTCTGTAGTTCGCTGCTCGGGGTAACCCCACTTGACAGCCGGCCGGCTGCCTGCCCGCTGCTCCGAGCTCTCAGAGGAGCTGGAGAGATGGGAAAAGATGGACACCTGGTAAACCTTCTGGCGTTTGATCTCTGTCTCATTGTAGCCCATGAGGATGCCGTGGTGGGTGCAGTGCTGTGAGGAAGGTTCCAAGGGTGCCTCTCCACCGGGCCGGGACAGGCTGGGGTCTGTGCTGCGCTCCGGGGGCAGGGACGTCTCTGCGTGGATGTGCCGCATGGAGCCTTACTTGCCTGGACTCCGAGCGGAGCCAGAGTCAGAACAGCCCATGCAGCAGCAGGAGCGAGAGCGTAAAGTGCCACAGGTCTGGGTGTGAGGGCAGGGTGGGAGCTGGACCCCTCCTCGCTCAGGACGTCCGGGTGAGCGCTCTACTATGGGGTGCACTGCAGCACAGCATCTGGAAAGAGAGCAGGAGGACAGAGATCAGCCTGCGGTCCTTGTCCTTGTCTGGGTTTTTGGCTGCAAGGGACCTGCTGGGAAGAGGGCAGCTCTCCATACAGTCCCACTCGGACCTCCCTCTCTGGGGATGGGAAGAGGAACCAGGCTGGTGTGGCTCTCCGGGGAATTCTGTGGCATCACCCACCTCCTGCAGGATCAGCACTTCCTTCCAGGCCTGGGCATGGAGAGAAGTCTCCAGCCAGGCTGGAGGCTACTGGGGACAAGTCCAGACAAGTGGGGAAAGGGGGGCCTGCCCTCTGCCAGGGACTTGGTGTGCTTGTGCTGCTCTGAAGCACAGGAGTCAGGCAGGTCAGACCAGTCCCAGGGGCTCAGGCCTGTAATCACCCTTTTGGGCAACACCAACAAGATCTCCCAGTGCTCGGCAAGACAACCTGCCCCACCACATGCGCTGAATGAGGCAGGGTCCTACGCTGCCAGCCCCATGGCAGGGACATAAACCTGGCTGGGCAGCCTGGGGAAACCCGACCTAATGTCACAGCTCTGCCAACTTGGCCCAGAGACCACCACCACCTCAATTAGCAGTTGGGTGGTACCAGCGACTGCAGAGCCCACCATGGACTCCTGCACCATCCACCCACCCTGCCTGCTCTGAGGGCCTGACCTCCTCCATGCTGCATGACACCTCACTTTTCATTTTCAGCCCTGTTTGGGAGCTGTGAGAATCCTGGCCACGAGTTTTTCTGGTATGATAAATACTGAAATGGCTGCAAGAGCTGAGGAGATGCAGGAAGTCACCAGCAGACCGAGCAGCTCCAGAGCCTGACAAACTGCCCATGCCTGGCAGCTCTGCCCTTTGGCTGTCCCCACAGTTACACCTGATCTTGTGGAGCAGAGGCTCAGATGCAGGTGAGCAGTAGGGGAACTGGTTCTCCAAGTGGGTCAAGGCTGTCTGGGGAGCAAGGCCACACATTGTATTTTGACCCCTGCTGCGATAGGGATGGAAAAGTGGCAGGCCAGGGTGGTTGAGTCCTGGGATTTTGTTTACAAGGAGTGATGAAAGGTATCACCATGCACCAGGACATGCTGGGGGCTGACCAGCTGGAAAGCAGCTTTGCAGAAAAGGCCCTGGGGTCTTGGTGGACACCACATCAACCATGAGCCAGCAATATGCCCTTGCCACAAAGACGGACAACAGTATCCTGGGCTGCATTAGGCACAGTATTGCCAAGAGGTCAAGGGAGACAATCCTTCCTCTCTGCTCAGCACTGGTGAGGCCACACCTGAGAGAGTGCAGCAAAGGGCCACTAAGACAACTAAGGGACTGGAGCATCTTTCCTACAAGGAAAGGCTGAGAGAGCTGTGACTCTTCAGCCCGGAGAAGTGAAAGCTGAGGGGGATCTTATCAATGTATATGAACACCTGAAGGGAAGGTGCAAAGAAGATGGAGCCGAGCTTTTTCCAGTGGTGTCCAGTGAAAAGACAAAAGGCAATGGACACAAACTGGAACACAGAAGGTTCTGTCTGAAATTCAGGAAACACTTTCTTTTTACAGTGAGGGTGACCGAGCACTGGAACAGGTTACCTGGAGAGGTTGTGGAGTCTCCATCCTTGAAAACATTCAAAAGCTGTCTGGACACAGTCCTGGACAATAGCTCTAGGTGGCCCTGCCTGAGCAGAGGGGTTGGACCAGATGACCTCCAGAGGCCCCTCCCAACCTCAACCCCTCTGTGTAACCTGGCACACTGCAGCCTGTCCTGGCTGCCCCCAACACTCACCCCTCTGCAGCAGAACCCCACTTTGCTCTGGATTAACTTCCTTGTCCCGCAGCGGGCGGTCGTTGGCACAACTAGCTGAAGACCCCTGCCAGCCAGGCACCCCCCAGAAGCGGCGTGGCTGCCGTGGAATGGCTCCCACCATCACGGTGTGCCTCCGAACCTCTGCAGCGTTCTCTCCAGCTCTTCAGTTTCCAGAGCAGCTCTGAAGGGAAGGAAAGTGGGAGATAGAGGACTGGAGTGATTCAGATGCTTTCCAGGAGAAGGGCAGGAGGGTACTGCCTGCCTGCGGGGTCACACAGGCAGAGAAGGCAGCATTGGGGCTCAGCCTCTCCCAACTTCCCAAACCCGAAGGCCACATACATCTCGGCCTATTCAGACAGTGCTATCACCTTGATTTCCATTTAAACCTCAAATATTTTAAGCTAAGCTGTGAACTGTCACACCTGGCTTGTATTTTACAACCCTTTTGCATGTGTTCCTGTATAAAAACCTGTGTATACAAACAGATCCCTCCTTCTTTCTGCTGACCATTTCATGTCTTGCTTTCCAAGACAGTGCAGATCACCAGCAACCTCTGGGCTTCCAGCTAGCTGCTGGTCTCATGCTCACCTCCGGCCCCTTTCACCCACAGCACAGGACATTGTCTGTCCCTACAGACAAGGGGAAGAGTTTGCAATTGTTTTCTTTCAATAAGAGATGCCTGGCAGGGAAGGCAGAAACCATGAGCCTGACAGCCCTGAGCCATGATGGCCCCCCACCAGCTTCCCCCAGCGCAAAGATAGCAGTCCTTTCATGTGCACAGCACTCACCTGCTCAGATGTGCCCTTGATGCATGACAGAGATTTGCAGATGCAACACAGCTCCCCTGTGGTCATAATCCACCGGCACTGCAGCTTTGATGCCTGGCAAAGGGCAAGGAGGAGAGTCAGCTCAGGCAGCAGCTCCTGGTGCAACACCTTCAGAGTGAGCAGGAGCCCTTGGACAACTCCATCCTCAGCCTCTCTGTGCCAGGGGTAGCCCATGAGCTTTTCTGGCCCAAGAACCTCCAAGCAAAGGAGAAAACACTGCCCATCCCTGGGGACCATGTCTTCCCCACCTCCCTTGCCGTGCATCCCTTGACCAAGGGCTCATTGCAGCAGCTGTCCAGAGGGAAGCCACCACTGGGCATCCCAACCCAACGGTGAGTACTGCCCTGGAGGCTGGCAACAGGCAGATGAACAAAATTCCCTAAGGGATGCTCAGAGGCATCGAACACCCGAGTGCACCCCCTTTCTTGCACCCTGGTCCAGCAAGTTTTCTATCCCATCATCTTGCAGCCCACTTCAGCAGGTCTCTTGCTGTGCTTGCTGCATGACCTCACCTGCCCCAGGAAACGGCTGTTCTTTCATTACATTTCCAATAAGATCTGTAATTTACAGGCAGTCATGGCCAGTCCCTGAGAGACGGCCAGCCCAAAAGCCACCACCAGCAGTGCTGGGGAAGGCCACTGCCAGTGACCAGCTAGAACAGAGATACAATACACCAGCTCCCAAGGAGAGCTTGCAGCAGGGCAAATCAACACTGTAGCATAAGAAACCTCTGGTCCAAAACCTCAATAAAAGCTCTTTGTAAAGATCAGCTCCTTCTGGCAGCCCACATGGGTCCTGCACTGAGGCAGTTCGAAAAGCAAGTGAATGCCCACAGCTGTGGGTGGATGCTGAGGTGGTAACACGCTGTGCTCTGCCTGCCTGTAAGGTTGCTGCTTCCCTCCTCCATCCCTGGTGGAGATTTGTACCATGACTTCTGTGGCAGTCAACCACTGGGAAGCAAAATCAGCAACCAGCAGCAAGAGTCAGTATGGTGCAGCAGGAGAAAGCCACATCCTTCCTGTGCACATCCATGCTGGGACAAATACGCAGTTTCACCTGCATCCTTTCTCCTTCCTACATCCCTCTGCAGTCACAGCCCTTCCCAAATCCTGGCACAGGCAGGCTGAGCCCTTTGCTCCCCAGCAGCAGCTGCCTTTCATGAGAGTGGGTCCATCAGGAGAGGCTGACATGCAGACACCACAAATCCATCCCAGCCAAGACCTCAACACCAATCATCAGGTGATGCCAGCACTAGCCAGTAGGGCACACTCCTAGCACTAGGGGCTGCACCACGTTTTCCAACCCAGACACTGTCGCCTGAAGCATCATGCTGGGAAATGCCAGGATTCCCCAGCCCACTCCAAAAGTGTCTCCAAGTACACCATGGGACCTCCTTGTACATCCCCCTGGAGGACTGCCCATCAGCCTGAGATGTGGAGCAGCTGGAGCACAGCACTGCTTCTCACCCTCCTGGAAGGTACCACAGCCAAGAGAGGTTACCATCCGCCTTCCCTTAGCCTTGGGGTTTCTCTTTGCTGTGTTTGGCTCTGCCTCCCAGGGCAGCTCCTCTGCAGTGAGAGCCCAGCCAACACAGGGACTAGGGACTCCTGCACGCTAAGCAGGGATGGGGAGACAGCACCTGGTCTCCCTTCTCCCTTTGAGCTAGGTATCTCCAGAGATCTACTTCTGGCCACCTGGATGGGTCAGAGCCAAGTCCAGGTCTGCACCAGCTCAGCTGAGCCGCACGGGCACCATCTCCTGGATGCAGCATGTGGGGTTCCATGTGCCCAAGCCAAGGGTTTGGCCCCTCTTAAGCCCAAGTGATGGTGATTTTGTCCGTGTTTCAGCCTCTGCTCGTGCTCTGACTCTAAGATAGGACTTAAAGGGATTTGCCTGTTGGAGGAAGCCCAGCCAGAGTTCCTCCTGCTCTCTACCCCGCTCCTGCCAAGCTCCCAGGCCCCCTCGATGCTCAGGGGGCAGGAGGGGCCCTGTGCTTTTGCCAGGGTCTCCCAGCACCTGGGTCCAGAGCTATGCCAGGCACAGCCTTCCTCTCCTCCTACATCCCAATGAGTCCTGGGGAAGGGCTCTATGCTTCAACAGCCACCAAACACCCAGTGCCAAAGGACCTGCAGGGAGGGATTGTCTCCCAGGCGCCACGGCAGAGACACTGCGTTCCCCGGGGACACCGAGCCGCCAG